GGAGTATATCGATGTCCTGCTCTGGGGGTGGATGGGGTACCATGCCAAATGACGTTTGCAACCCAGCACGCGCTCACCGAGCACCTCACGCACACGAAGACGGGCACACACGGAGTACGACACGTAGCACGGCTTATGGCAGTCAACAATCAATGCATTGCATGCTCCACGATATTCAAAAGCAAGGCTGTCGCCAGCAATCATATGCGCACGAGCTTCCTGAAGGGTTCCTGTATTCCTGATCGGGCCCGCTCGGGCCTGGAGATCCACGAAACCACGCTCTCGGAATGCCCCATATGTGATCAACAAGTTGACTCAACAGAACATCTACGTTGGCATTTACAGCTCGAGCATCTTCCAGTATTGCTTCCCAAGCACGAGATCACGCTAACAGATTGGGAGTTCGACTGCGAGCTGCATGGCCGAGTGGAGCGGACTACTCATCGCCCCGAAGAAGGAGGCTCGCGGCGCCGAGTCCGCGGAAGGAGCCCCGCCAGGCAAGAAGGCGAACACCGACAACGCCGCCTCCGACCAGAGGCTGCTGAGGCAGCTAGAGAGCAGGATGCGCACCCTAGAGTTCGAGATGCAGGTAACCAAGTTCTTCAACAACGACGCCCAGATCATATGCAACATGGTGGACCTTCAGAAGCATTACGACAAGCAAGTCAAGCAGATCGGAGGCGGTCACAAGCTGGGGAGCCCCCATCTACATCTTTTTGGCAGCATTCTGAGCGATATCGAGAGCTTCTTCACCAAGGGCGTCTCCCCCGACCTCCAGGGCTTCCAGTTCCTCGCCGAGCGCCTGAAGCTAAACATAGAGGTCTCGAAGGACCCGATTTTGATCGAGGAGTGGTGCAAGGTATGTGGATACAGCAAGACATTCGACGGCAAGAAGACGCGCCTGACCCTGGACTTGCGCGGGCAGGTAGTGGTAGGCAGCAACGCGGACGTGGCCAGGGAGTTATTCCAAAAGGCAAAGGAGGAGCACGAGCTGGGAGAGATCCACACGCACCCCCTCGAGGTCGCGTTCCCCCTCCCCGCGAGATCCAAGCTGATGACGCTCAACCACGCCTTCGCCACCATCCTCAGGGGCATGGGCGCCGACGGCAAGCAGGGCCGCGCCCCGAAGGGCAATCTAGTCAGGAAGATCGGAGGCAGCAACAACAGGAAGTGAGTGAACATGACGTAGCAGCCCGCGTGAGCCTAGCTGCGGAGGCCGCAGCGGGCGATCACCCCCCTGAAGACTTCGAGGCAGATGAGGAGGCAGCAGGATTTTTTGGATTCGGACCTTTAGTTTTGAGGTTTTTTTTCCAGCCCGTCCGCGCTTCCTCTCCTCGGTGAAATCCAGGAGGCCGCAGCGTGTGACGCGTCCAAGCGACGTGGCCCAGGCGACCAGACACCGTTTCCAGAAGCTTTCTTGTATCGGGGTTGCCGAGTGGGTGTTGAAAGTCGTCGTCGTTGTCGCTGCCCGACGGCGCCAGCGCCGGCGCTGGCGCTCGCCGTCGTCGGTTGCAGGGGGGAACTGGGTGGGGTGGGCACCCCTCCCGGTTCGAACCCCCCCCCCCCTTGGACAGGCGGGGGCGTGGGGCGCCCCCTCCGTTGTTGGACCCCCCCCCTCCTCCCCTGTGGACAGAGGGGGGGGGGCTCTCTTTCCGGTTCGAACTCCATCCCCCTCCTGCATCTCAGGGGTGGGGGGCCTCCCCCCCGGTTCGGACCCCTTGATGGGGGGGTCCCCCTCCCTGATTCGACCCCCCCCCCCCCTGCATCTCCAGGGGGGTACCCTTCCTGGTCTCCTGGCTTGAGTTCCCCCCTCTGCCGGCGTCCACAGGACGCGCTCTCTCCAGGGTGAGGGTGTGGGGGTGTTGGGGGTGCCCGGATTACGGTTCGGGTGTTGGGGTGCGGGTGACGGTTATGGTGTTAGGGTTCGAGTGTTATGTTTGGGGGTGTTATGGTTCGCGGGTTAGCGGGTTAGGGTGAGGGTTAGGGTTAGCGGGTTAGGGTGAGGGTTAGGGTTAGCGGGTTAGGGTGAGGGTTAGGGGTAGGCTGAGGTGTTCGGGTTAGCGGGTTAGGGGGTGCCAGGGTTTGGGTGTTATGCTCAGGGTGCTAGGGTTCGGGTGTTAGTGTTAGGGTGTTATGGTGCGCGTGTTAGGTTTCGTTTTTTTTTTTTTGTGTGTTTGAATTCGTATGTTAGGGTTAGGGTGTTCGGATTACGGCGTTGTAGTCAGCGTTAAGTTGTGAGGTTTAGTGTGGGAGGGTGCGGGCGGTGTTAGGGTTAGGGTTAGGGTGTCAGGGTTGGGGCAGGGCTAAGGTGTTCAGATAAGGTTTGGGTGTTAGGCTTAGGGTATTAGGTTTTTGATGATAGGTCTATGGTCAAAGTGCTAGTGTTCAGGTGGTAGGGTTAGGGTTGGGGTTAGGTACTTCGGGTTTTAGGGTGAGGGTGATTGGGTTAGGGTGGTAGGGTTTAGGGTGTGAGGGTTGGGGTGTCGGGTTCGGGCATTCGGGCTGAGGAGGAGAGGGGAATTGCTCCCGTGACCCGGAAAACAGGGGGGCGGGGAGGGGGCAACCACGCGCCTAGTCCAAAGGGGGGGGGGCTAAGCCCCCTTCTCCCTTCTTTTGCAAGGGAAGTAGGGGGGGGGTAGGTAGCTTCCAGGGCGGGGTAGCTTCAGAGCGCGACAGAGGGGGACTGGGATGGGGATAGCTTCCGCGGGGCGGAAAGGAAGGGGAGGAGAGGGGTGGGGGCTTCGGACAGGGAAAGTCCAAGGGGGGGGGTAGCTAAGGGGAACCCCCCCTGTTTGCTCCAGCCCTGCGTGCGCGCTCTCTCATATCTACGTGGTGCAATCTATGTAGTGCAAGTAATTTTGTGCGCAGTGAGTTGTCCACACCACTGCTCGCGCAATCATCCCACCCACCCATCTGCAACTTGTTTGGCAAAGCCCGTGCGGCGGCAATTGCGATGAGTGCATGGGGTTGGCTGGTGCATCATTGCGGCCGCGCTAGGCGGCGCATGCTCGCGCGCGCAGCGGCCAGATAGTTTGGCGCTGCCGACGCGGCCGCGGTGGCGCTGAACGCTAGGCACTTCCCAGGGGGCACGTCAGTGCGAGTCGGTGACTTGTGCGGGCGCGGCATCATGGCAACGCCGACAACAGCAGACGTGATGATGATGGTAGCGATTCTGGTGACGAGGTTGACAACTACGACGGCAAGACCAGTGACGTCGCCAACGCTGATCCCGCCGACGACGACGATGGTGCCCCCGCGTCGGCGATGAAGGTTTTGGAGGGAGTTCGACATGTGCTCGCGGCCGACGCGCGAGTGGCCCGCATGGTATCGGTTGCCACGGGCCGTCCCCCCCCCAGCACGCGCGCGAGGGCGCTCAAATGATATCGGCGTGCGGCGCGATGGCCCCGTTTGGCCGACTTGACTGAACGTGTTGAAGAGCCTACGGTTTTCATCAGAATTCGCAGGGGCGCGGACGCAAACATTTTTGAACACTAGGTTGGTGTCGCGAAACCATGTGTTTTTTATGTGATTTCGGGACACATTCTTCGAATTCCTTACGACACCTGCGATTTTTGTAGGATTTCGGCATGCGCCCGCGACGACGCGCTCGCATGCACTTCGTTCCGTTTTTTGCAAGGGATGCGTGCGACAGTACGCGCGCAAGGGCGTCCAAGCGATTGTGTCACGCGCGCGCGAGAGGCCCGTTCGGTAGCAATCTATGAGCATGTTGAACAAACGATGGTTCTTCTTGACACTTCGTCAGGACCCGTGCGCAAGTTAATGTTGAAAGTTCTTGCTGCGAAGCCATATGTTTTCAGATGCGCCTGAGGTTTTGGAAGGTTTTCGGCATGCGCGCGCGACGACGCGCGCGCGTGCACTTCGTCCATTTTCTGCAAAGGATGTTTGTCCATTTATAATTGTTGATAAAATAATATTCGCGCATATCATTTGTTGCAGAGGATGAGGGGGGGGGTACTGGCCTACCTTGGATGGTACGAACCCGTTTTTTGCTGATGGGCGACGGGGGAGGAACAAAGTTACATTGCAATACGAAACGGTGAGCCGTTAATTCCAGGGGGGTATATCCTAATATTTTTAATTCAGGAGAAATGTGGTTACATGGGTGTGGTGTGACCTATGTGTTGCAATCTATGTGAATACGCGGCGGAAATAATTTTGAAAAGCTTGGAGTTGACAGTTCCACTGTTCGGGCAGTTGTCCCACCCTCCCACCCGCAATTTCGTTTGCAAAACCCTTTCGGCGGCCATTGCGGTGATTGTCTGGCTATGGTTTGCGCATCTTTGCGCTCGCGCGCAGAGCGGCCAGCTGGTCTGGCGTATCCGATGCGGCCGCGACGGCACTCACCGATGAGTACTTCCCAGCGTGCGTCGAAGGCCGCGCTGGAGCGCGAGCACTTCCACGCGGGTCGGTGGTTCGGGTGGGCGCGGTATCATGACGACGTCGACAACATCGACAAAAAGGTGATCACGGCCGACGGACGCGCGTGCATGGCATGCTATTGTTCGACAGGGATCAGCACTCGTGGCAAAGCGTTTTACTGATTTCGACATGCGCGCGCGAGGGTCCCGCGTGGCTTTGTTTGGGGATGTTGAGCAACGACCGTTGCTCGAAGAATTTGCATGAACGCGCGCCGATTCTCTCGAAAACAAATGTTGGAACGCATTTTGTCGTTTCACACAATATTATCGGTAACTTAGAATTTGAAATTTTCTACGGCAGTTGAAGTGTTGGAAGGATTCGACATGCGCGCGCGACAACCCGCGCGTGTGAATTGTGTGACAGGAACAATTGGTTGTCTTGATAAACGAATGTGCGCACATCGAAGCATGTGACAGGGATGAAGGGGTTGGCGATGAAGGTATTTCCTCCCTGGGATGGTGGGTCTTCTCGTGATTGCCCTGGGGCCCGGCGAGGGCCCCCAGAGGCCGAGCACCGCCGTGACTTGTCATGTCGCTGGGCCTCGGCTCGCTGCCCCTCAGGACGGGACGACGCTGCTCCTGGGCTGCCTCGGCACGGTGAACCGCCTTGTCCACCGGGAGATCGAGTTCATGATGTCCCGCGGCGCCGACCCCTCGCTCGCGAGCAGCTCTGGCACGACCCCGCTGCACGCGCTGGCGTCCGCGAAGGCCTGCTGGGGGGAACAGAGGGTGGGCCGCTGGTGGCCAGAGGCTTGTGCAGACACCTGGCGTCTCGACATGCAGTGGGGGCGCGCATCAAGAACCCATCTTCGGGGGTGGACAGACCTCCTACCCCGACGCGTCGATTAGCGAATTGGCCGTTTTCGGTTCGCGAGAGGGCGTCGCGGCCGTTGTTTTTGCGGGTCCAGGCACGTCGGTTTCGGCCCTAGGCCGATTTCACTAAAGGGAGGTTTACTAAAGGGAGGTTTGTCCACCGCCGACATTTGCTTTTCGTTAGGGTATCCTGGGTTTTTTCGCTCCTCGCGCTGCGCGGTGGTTTCCCGCAGCCGCTGAGGGAGCTGCTGCGTTCAGGGTGCTCCAGGCTTCCCCTCAGGTGCACCTCGCGCACGGATTCTCAGGGTTGGGTTTCGTGCGAGGGTTTCTTGCGGCCACGCCCGCACTGTAGTCGAGACGACGTTTTTTTGTTTGTTACATACATACATATACACATATATATATATATATATATATATATATATATATATACATATTCGGCCTCCTGGGGCCCTCACCTGGCTTCGGGGCCGCCAAGAGACGGCCCGGGAGGAAAAACCGGTTCTCGGGAAGTGGTCGAGAGGTCGGGGGTCCGTAGACGTTCGGGTGGCCAGTGCGTAGAATTATCGTGCGATCGAAATGGCACGGAAATGGCAATGACGAGAACCGGCAGAAGTTTTTTGCCCATGTTGACCAGTATTTGCCTTCGGCGTCGACCTGGACGGTATCCATGTGAGCCAAAGGTCGCTTGGCCCACAGCAGCTGCTGTCGGTTTTGGACAGCGTTCGCTGCTAGGCATCGTGCATAGGTTTTCCGTATCCTAATTGGATGTCCAGAGAAGGCTGCGTCGCGAAGCCGTACCCCAGAGATCACGGCGGGAGGTTTCGTCGGATGCTCGACCTCCTGGGTTATGATGATGTTCCAGCCTACCTCAGCTTTGATCATGCGAAAGAATTTCGAGCACCGAGGAAGTACCGCAACTGGAGGGTTTTCGCGTGTCGGGCGCCGGGAAGCGATTCTTGCTCGACACTGTTTCGATACTTTTCTGGGTGTTCGGAATTATTTTTGGGATGTGGTCCTTAAGTACGATGGGAACATCAGGAAGGAAAAAACACACAGACACACTGAATCGTCGATTCTCCAGAAAATATAGGAAACATGGGACGTTGGGGGAGGACGAAAGTTTAGAAATTACGCGAAAATATGGGGAATCCTTGGATTTGTCTGTATTTATTTGTGTCCTTGGGCCCCTTCAAACTCCTGGGGCCCTTACCGGGCCCTGGGGCCGTCCGCAAGCGGCCCAAAGGGCGGCAATTCGGAAGGAGGGAGGGAGGGAAGGAGGTAGGGAGGGAGGGGGGAGGAGGAGGAGGAGGAGGAGGAGGAGGAGGAGGGCAGAGGAGGAGGAGGAGCAGGAACAGAGGAGGAGGAGGATGAGGATGAGGATGAGGAGAGGAGGAGGAGGAGGAGGAGGAGGAGGAGGAGGAGGAGGAGGAGGAGGAGGAGGAGGAGAGGGAGGAGGAGGAGGAGGAGGAGGAGCTGGAGGAGGAGGAGGAGGAGGAGGAGGAGGTCCGTAGCCATTTTGGCTCAAGTCCGTAGTGTTTCGCTCAGGACTGGAGCATTTGGCGTGGGGGAGGCGTGCCCCCGCCCGTGATCCTGCGGCCAGTTTCTGGCCTCAGCACCCTTTGTGAGCTCCTGCTGGAGCATACATACTCTTACAATATTTCCCTCGTGCGGTATCTCCCTGTGTCCTTGCGATGGGCTCTTCTCGTCGCGGCCAGCCTGGTATGCGTGATACGAAAGGAGACCCTCGCCAGTGGACGTGGGTGGGGCACCAGCCTAAGAGTGGAGGTGCGGACAAGGCTCCGTGCCCCCATTGTGGATGCAAGAAGAATGTGTCGCACTACTGGTTTTGCAAATGCTGCCTCGAGCCGCTCGCATATGTCCAGCCGACAGCCCATCGACCTGCAGGCGGCGTCTGGGCCTTACCTCCGCTCGGGTCGCTCCCGTCTCACGGAGATCAGCTTCAGGGGAAAGGGGAGGCGACGGCTGCGGGGCGCAAGGGAGGCAAGGCAGGCAAGGGCAAAGGGGTGGATCCCGCAGCCTGGCCCAAGCCTGCTGGCCTCCAAGGGCAAGCGGCTGCGGCTCCCACCCTGCAGCCGACCCTCCCGTCGGGGTTGCAGCTGCAGGCCTCGGGGTGGGTCGCCCAAGGCGGAGGCCAGCATGCAGATGCTTGGACGAAGTACTCGAAGGACGACATCCCCAAGCTGCGCCTCATCCAGGAGAGTTTCCAGAGCTTGGGAGATTCGGCTCAGGCGGCGGTGTATGCGTCCTACATCGACAGGTTGCAGAAAGCGGGCCCGCGGGCGCCCACTGTTGGTGTGTGCCAGCATGCCATGCGTGAGGCCAGGCAGCATTTGGAGAAGCGTGTTCGTGTCGCCGAGAACCTCCAATGCCAGCTGGTTGAAGCTCAAAAGGCTGCGGTGCAAGCCATGCGGGGGTTCGAGGCCTGCCAGGACAAGTACCACCAGGCGGTCAAGCTCCTCGCGTCGGAGGTGCCCCAGGCGGCGCCTCCAGCAGCTCAGGCGGAGGCGCCGCGCCACGGCCTCAGTCTGGAGAAGCTGCTGGACGGAGAATCCTTCGAGATCTTCGAGGACGACGGGCTCTTCGGCTTGGAGGCTGAAGGCGTCGAGGTCACCGACCCCGAGAAAGAGGAGGTGGCCGAGCGGAAGCAGGAGGTGGAGCAGACCATCAGGCGTGCGGTCACCGAAGCGTTCGGGGCGGTACGTGTGCGCGCGCAGGAGCTGGTGGCGGAGCAGGAGGCCTGCAAGCAGTGCATGCTGTCCAAGAGACGGCGTGTGGATGAAGTGTCTGGTGCTGCCCCCGCGGGGGCTGATGTTCCGACTGCTGAAGGCGACGCTGACGATGAAGCACGTGAGGGGGCAGCTGCTGCAAGGGCCGCACCACCTCCACCCCAGGCACCGTCTCAGGAGTCGGTCGCCGCGGCCGTGGCTCTGGCAGGCCGGGGAGGTCTGCGCTCTCCAGTCGACGGCGGCGTGGAAGACCTGGCCAAGGACTACGCTGCCGCTACTCGCCTGGTGCACGCTGGAATGTCGGGGCTTTAGCATGGCATGCTCGGGCAGTTCGACAGCTCCATGTGCAGCGGCATGGGCTACTTCGTCTGGGTCGCTATACTCACCCACCATGAGACCACTGAGGCACCCCTCGGACGAAACCCTGGGTAGGCCAGTGTCCATTGGGGGCTGGGACCGCCCAGAGGGACCCCCAGGGTGTGAATCGGTGCGAGTATGGTGGGCAGAGAGCGCCACATCTTCGGGGCACGGCTTGCCTCCCGAATGTTCTTCTGCGAGCTGGTCCTGTACATGCTCGCGATGGGGGCCAAGAAGTTCCGCTACGGACTCCATCTCTCGTCCCCACTACTTGCTGCACGCGGACTCGATCGACAGTTGGTCAGGTTCATTGCCCCCGTATGCGGGGTCCCGTCACGTTCCTAAGTCGCCGCAGGCGGGAGTGGTGCGTTTCGATTCATTCGCCATGCAGTGGGTCCAATTTCCTGGTGGTCTCCATCTCGCCGGGGACGAAGCAGATCTTGGAGCGGCCCCACAATCGTCTCCTTCGGCCTCTCGCTGGCGCTGCTCGTCAGCCTCTCCATCATCGGGTCCTTCCATGTCGTCATCTGAGGGCCAGGCTGGAGCTTGGGGCCTGGCTCGCGCGCTCGAGTCGCCTGTGTCTGGTGGGGTCCTCAATCAAGGCCAGCGGTAGAGCTCCTGAGGTCCCCATACAAGGCTAGTTTTCAGACGAGTGGCTCCCCTTCGGCGAGTAGTAATGCTGAGGGGGGCCCCGACTGTGCTGCAGGTCTCACGTGTGCCTACGAGTCGCCACAAGTTTTTGGCCTGCCCCCTCCGAGAGACCCCAGCCCCAGTTGTGCAGTTTCGGACTCCCTTCAGAAGTTCTCCAAGAGGAAATATCGCAGGACTCGGGAGTTCGTGTTGGAGACGTGCAATACCACGTCATGGTCTTCCCTTCAGGAGTTTCTCGTGAATGAGGCCGAGTCGTCTGTGGTCTTCCTGCAGGAGGTGGCCGCGGACGCGGGTGCCCAGAAGGCTCGAGAGGGCACCGTGAAGGCTCACGGTTGGCAGTTGGCTCCTAGCCCTTCGGTCGTCACGGATCATGTGGGATTACCGTCTGGGGTCGGCATCGCGGTCAGGAAGCACATCGGCATGGGTAAGGCCCCCAACTTGGCTAAGGCGCTCCCCAGTCCTCACAGGGTCCTGGCGACGCATATCAACAGTTTTGTTCATGGGGGCTTTATTGCTGTCAGTTTGTACCTGTGGGATCAGGACCCGCTGGGGCAAGAGGGCAGCCATTTGCTTGCGCGTCTTTGGGAGTATCTCTTTGGCTTGGGCATTCCCGTTATCATTGGGGCTGATTGGAACTGCACTCCAGAGGATCTTGAAGCGTCCAGCTGGCCAGATAGGCTAGGAGGTGCGCTGGTGAGAACGGTCGAGCCCACGTGCAGGTCTACCAGCCACAAGTGGAGGACCATCGATTTCTTCGTGGTTAGCCGTGCTCTTCTCGGGGTCTGCCACAAGATTGCCAGGCACGAAGACACATGCATCAAGACACATTGGCCAGTGCTGCTCACCTTGTCTGGAGACCCCTTGAAGGAGAAGGTACGTTTGCTGAAGCGTCCTCGTGTTTTTCCTGTAGTGCTACCCGTTGGTCCGCGCCCTAAGCCGCCAGACTGGTCCGATCTGATTGAAGCTGCGGAGCGGCGTGGCGGGCAATGCGAGCTGGACCAGGTTTTTAGTGCCTTCTTTCAACGTGCTGAGGATGAACTCATCTCGGCGCACGCCATCGACCCTTTGGAGGCCCCTAAGTTTCGAGGCCGTGGGCGTGAGCCTAAGTTTGCTTGGTTTCCTGCTCTGCGCAAGTCAGGGGGGGCCTATCCTGTGGGCTCGGCTGAATCTAGGGGCTGGGGGAAGGTTGCTCATTGGGCTTGCGAACTCTACCACATTTCTAAGAAAGGGGAAGCTTGGGGTGACGATGAATCGGTTGCCATTATTGATAAGCTCTGTAAGGGGCCCGCTTGCTTGGCGGGCAGCACGGCTTGGCAAGGCCGGCTTCCCCCCTTGGAAGTACTGTTATTCTTCAGCACCAAGCAGTGGCACGGCTTGTTCTGCAGCGCGAGCTCGCCGCCTAGTCGGACCGAGGGGCAAAATGGAGGACCTGGGTTGCCGAAGCTGTCTCGGATGGGGCTGGTATCGCCCACAAGTGCTCTAAGCCCTCCATAGGTTGGATCCCCGCCACTAGCCTCCAAGGGGCCCCACCCCCTGAGCCTCAGCAGCAGGTGGATGAGCTCTTGGAAGCTTGGAAGGGAGTCTGGCAGCCGTCACCCAAGTCGGAGGCCACGCCAGACCCCGTGGCCTACTGCACCACCCATCCTGCAGCAGCAAGCCAGCGAGAGTGGGGTTTCCATAGAGGATATGTGCCCTCCCGTTCGCGACCCAGAAGCCATCAGGAGAGTGGCTTCTAAGTTCAAGAGGTTCACGGCCCTAGGAAGTGACGCGTTGCACCCCAGGGAGCTGGCCAACCTCTCGGACGGGGCCCTCAAGTGCCTCGCCTTGCTCTGGCACTGGCAGGAGTGTTCGGGCATCTTCAGCTCTGCCATCGCTCTCATCCTGTTGGCTCAGCTTCCTAGGCCTGAAGGAGGTTGCCGACCCATCGGCATCGAGAGTGGGGCCAGCAGGGTGTTCCACAAGCTTGCTAGGCATGAGGCTGTCGAGCGGGGGGATCGTCATCCCAGGTCATACCATTACGGAGTGAAAGGGAAGTCTTGTGAGAGGGCTGTCTGGGAGCAGAGCCTAGCGGTAGAGAGCCACAGCCTCATGGGGTTCACCGCGGGGCTCACCTTGCTAGACCTCACCAGGGCGTATGAGAAAGTTGTTCATTTCCTTCTTGTGCAAGCCGCGGTCGCTCGGCATTTTCCGATTTTCAGGCCCAAGCTTCTGCTAGTGAAGTATAGAGGGCCGCGGGTCATCAGCTTGTCTGGCACCTGCTCGGACGTGGTGCAGGTGGCGCAGACCATCCTGGCAGGGTGCCCCTTCGCGACGACGTTGCTTAGGCTGTGTTTGCTGTCCCCCTTGGGTAAAGTGTGCGGGCACTTCCCGTCCGCCGTCCCCTTCAATGTGGTCGACGACATTACGCTGTTCATGGGAGGGGCTGCTAAGGTGGTCCAAACGCGTCTTGGGAATGCTACGGCCTACCTATGTGGGCTGTTGGAGGGGCCAACTGCTGGTTGTCTCGGAGTCGGCAGGCAAGGTTTTATCTTCGCGTTCTTCGGTGGTCCGTGGATTGGCCAAGCGTCTGGGCAAATGGAAGTTCACCGCCCCTGCGGCTACCAGGAATCTGGGATGCGACTTTGGGATGGGGCCCAAGGGTCGCAGATCCATGGCTGTCGTGGGGTCCCGCTTTCGCAAGAGCAAGGGCCGTCTCTCCAAGTTTCGCAGCCTCTGCAGCTCGTTCCAGGGGCTCATGAAGGTCATCAGAGGAGGGGCGCTCCCTCAGGGCATGTATGGGGCCATGGTCAAAGGTCTGGATGATAGGCGTGTTCGTTCTCTGAGATCTTCCCTGGCCTCGGCTACTTTCGGCGCTGCTCGAGGTCGAAGCCGTACTCTGGAATGTATGACGATTTCGGTGCCAGAGGCTGATCCTGAGTTTGATGCTAGTCGTCCCCCTCTCCTTGCATGGTCGCGTGCCGCCAGAGAAGGCTGGGTGGATGCGACGACGCTGCGCCGTTGCTTCGAGGCGGCGGAGCGCTGCCCCAATCTGGCTTGGTCGGAGGTGCTTGGCCCAGGCTCTGCAGTAGTACTCACGCTCAGGAGGTTGGGGCGGTACTCTGATTCCTGGAGGCTTTGGAAGACCCGTTCTGGGATTACGATTGATGTTGGCGTTGTCGGAAAAAGGTCTTTGCACAAGTTGACCACTCAGGATACCCATGACCTTCTTCGGAGCCGCGTGGGTTTGAAGATGTTTGGGTCTCCTGGGCTCCCTCTGGTGGCTCCCATTGCTCAGCTGTGCAGGCAATGCCGCAACGAGGTTAGCAAGCAGAGTAAGAAGAAGGCTTGGCTATTGTCTGGCTTGGCTGCATGTGGCTTTCCTACGCAAGCAGGGCTATATGAAGATCGTCGGGTTGTTGATGTCAGGTGCCAGGTCTGCTTCGACGAGCCTGGGACACAAATGCACCGTCTTTTCAGGTGCCCTGCTCATTGTGGGCTCAGACGGCACCTCGATCTTCAGGAGCTTCAGGAGAGAGCTGCTGAGCCAGGTGCTGATCTTCTTTTTCTCACGCGTGGACTTGCTGTGTCACCAGAGGCGAAGTGGCCACCGCCAGTCCAGCACGAGTATGTGAAGTGGGACAAGGCTTCCACCACAGGCTTCATGAGCCACCGCATTTGTCTGGACGGGCCAGCGCTGGATCCCGACCTCCCCTTCAGCAGGGCGGGGTGGGCGGTCGTGTGCATGGGCCCCCAGGTCGCGGTGGTCGCGTCGTCCAAGTATGGCCCGCTCCCCCCGCCCTGTGCCGGAGGCGGGATGCGGCGAGGTGTATGCTTTTCTCATGGCCTTGAGATCGCTCGAGGTCGGCGCGGTGGAAATCGCCTCGGATTGCCGGCTTGTCGTGGATGTGCGGGCCAAGGGGCCCGATCAGGACTTCGAAAGATTGGCGTATTCATGGGTTCAGATCTTCCAGATTGCTCAGGACTATGGGATTGAAAATATTACCCTCCGCAAGGTCCGTTCTCATTTGTCCCTCACGAAGGCTCTCGAAGCTGGCATGCCCATCTGGGCGTGGAAGGGAAACAATGAGGCTGATCGGCTTGCGGGGGAGGGGGCCGAACTTCGCCCGTCCAATCCCAGGGCCAAGGCTGAGTACTTGAGCCTCTCTGAGCAGGTCAGGCAGATAGGGATTTTCCAAGGGGCGATCCTGTTTGCTCTCTCGGAGGGGGGTTTTCCTGATGTTGCTAAGTGTAAAGTTGGGGGCCGTAGGAGACCGACTCGGTTGGAGTTGGTGGCGGACCCCAATGGGCACGAGGTTCGCAGGTCGGGGCAGAAACTCCAGAGGTTTTTCTGCCCGAGATGCGGCGACAGGTCTCACTCCAGGACTGGGCTTTGTATGACCACGTGTAGTGGTCTCCCCAGGTTAGCTCGTAATGCCCACAGCACCCATAAGCTGTGGATGGGGGTGGGGGGATCGTTTGGTGCTCGAGGTGTGCTGCCTCTGGTACCAAGAGGCCCCGCCTCCTGCAGGCGCAGTGCCACGGAGCACCGCGCAACAAGGGGGCCCAGCAAAGCCTCTCGGACCTCAGGAAGGGCAAGGACCCGTCCGATGGGAGGTCTTTCGGGAGGAGCTGGCCCATCCCCGCCGAGCTGTTCAAGGAGGCGCGCTAATGCTGCCGCCTTCTCTTTTCGTCGTCGTCGTCGTCAGCGTGCTGCGTAGCCTCAGGGAGCTGGACAGTTGCGCCACAGGATCACAGGATCACAGGAGGAGGAGGAGTAGGAGGAGGAGGAGGAATAGGGGAGGAATAGAGGAGGAGGAGGAGGAGGAGGAGGAGGAGGAGGAGGAGGAGGAGGAGGAGGAGGAGGAAGAGGAGGAGGAGGAGGAGGAGGGGGAGGGGGAGGGGGTCCGGGGAAGGGGTCCAGGCCTCGGGGGTCCACGTCGTGAGGCCAGTGCCCGGGAGAAGTTGATGCCTCGATTTTTCGCCGGCGCTCCACGCCCGCCGTCTCTCTCTCTCTCTCTCTCTCTCTCTGTCTCTGTCTTTGTCTCTGTCTCTGTCTCTCTCTCTCTCTCTCTCTCTCTTCCTGTTTCTTTCGTGTTCTCTCTCTCTCTCTACATTACCTGCTTTTTTATGCGCCCTCTCTCTCTCTCTCTCTCTCTCTCTCTCTCTTTTTCTGTTTCTTTCTTGTTCTCTCTCTCTCTCTCTCTCTCCCTCTCCCTCTACATTATCCTGCTATTTGTATGCGCCCTCTCTCTCTGTCTCTCTCTCTCTCTCTCTCGTCCTGTTTGTTTATTCGTTTTCTTATTATTCTTCTTCTCTCTACATCTATATTGCTATTTTTATGCGCCCTCTCTCTCTCTCTCTCTCTCTCTCTCTCTCTCTCTCTTCCTTCAAGGGAGAAAAAACCACCCGGACCGGACCATTGGCGCTTCCTAAAAGGGCCCTGGGAATTTTCGAAACAGCCGTGCCTTTATTGATTTCTTATGTGGGCGCGTTTGCCAAACGGCTTCGCGTGTCGGGGTGCTTATTATCGGGCTGAATGTTTAGCCCTCTCTTCCTGTTCCTTTCTTGTTCTCTCTCTCTCTCTCTTTCTCTCTGTCTCTACATCTATCCTGTTTTTTTTTCGGCGCCCTGTCAACTCGCTCTGCGCTATGGTACCTGCTCTTTACTTGATTCATGTTTCTTCTCTCGCTCTCTCTCTCTCTCTCTCTCACTCTACTTACCCGAGGGCTTTCAAGAACTTCCAACCCAGAACTCCGACGTCGTGTTTTTTTCAAGAGTGGGAGCGCCCAGGGGTCCAGACCCCTTTCACGGGACCAAGTTTTTTAACGAGTCTTTGTGTTGGCGCTCCCAGTGCCGGGCGAGGACCCTTCAGAGGCCCAGAGTGATTCCCCTCGCCTCCGTCGTCTGCCTTCTCCTCTCCTGTTCGCGATCTCTCGGCTGCACATGGACGTGACGAGCGCAGGGGATGCAGGCTTGTTGCATCCTGTTTGTGTCAAGCATGGGAAAAATCAAGTCCGTTACTGGGCCCAGCATTAAGTCGGGCGTGTCCCTCTACAGGAGGAAGATTCAACCATATTTAAAGATAGTCGAGGGGCGATGTTTTAAACTTATGTTTGGCAACTCTTATGTATGGAAATGTTTCTGTTGTGTTTTAACATTTCGCCCAAGATCCTCCTCTTCCTCCTCCTCTTCCCTCCTCCTCCTCCTCCTCTTCCTCCTCCTCCTCCTCCTCCTTCTGCTCCTTCTCGGGTCGCCTACGGCCCGGGGGGAAGCCGTGCAGGAAGGGTTTTATATCTGCGGGAGTCCACGATGCGACACTAATCACGACAGCGGGCTTCTGGGATCTTCCACTGGTCAGACATCGTGGGGCTAGGGTCGCCGAGGTAACGTCTTGGACTGGGCAGGGCCGGACAAGGCAGGACCACGCGAGGCAGGTCGCCAAGATGACACCAGATGGTCAACATTGACTGGTGTAACCCCAGGGCCTCCCAGGAGGACACCTGAGAGGCCACAGTCATCGATAGATCTGCAAGCTTCTGCGTTTTAGGGGTCCTGTTCTCTCCAAAGGCTTTGCCCAGGAGTTGCTCTCTCTCTCTCTCTCTTGTTCTCCTTCCCCTCGCGCGCTGCGGTCTTTGCAGCTCCTCGGCCCCAATTCCCTCGCGCCCACCCCCGGCGAGCGCTAGCCCAGGCGGCCATCGAGGGATCGCGCGAGCTCCTTTATCGAGGCCTACGAGCCGCGCTCCACGAGCTGCTCGTAGGTCAACCTTTCCCATCGCTCACGGAGCTCGGCGCCTCCTCTGCGGGGTTGCCGTGGCCCGCTCAGGCCGACCCCAGCTGCGGTGGGCAGTGCCCTCCTGCCGCTTGGGGCACGGCCTGCCCTGCCGTCCGCCTGGGGCTGGCGGTGGACCGGAGCAGCGGGGTCACCCCTCTGCTGCTCTATATTCGGTTGTGGCCCTGGTCGGTGCCGCGGCCAGCTGCAGCCTCTGCGGGGGCTGCTGCATCGGGGCTCTCGCGTCCCGCTGGTGGGGGCAGCTTGTATTCCCCCGCGCGTCGGCCGTGGTCGGAGCCCCTGCGGGCGCACAGGTGGCCCGCCTGGGTGGCTTGCATCTGCCCCCCCCCCCCCCCTCCCCCCGCCGCCCCCGACATCCGCGCACCTAAAGTCGCTCTTGCCCAGGGTCACTTTTGCGAGCAGCCGAAACGGGTCTTGATGTCGTGGGCTGGGCACACTGGGAGGAGGAGGAGGAGGAGGAGGTGGAGGAGGGGGAGGAGGAGGGGAGGGGGAGGGGGGGGAGGAGGAGGAGGAGGAGGAGGAGGAGGCGGAGGAGGAGGAGGAGGAGGAGGGAGGAGGAGGAGGAGGGAGGAGGAGGAGGAGGCTAGGAGGAGGAGGAGGAGGAGGAGGAGGAGGAGGAGGAGGAGGAGGAGGAGGAGGAGGAGGGGAGGAGGAGGAGGAGGAGGAGGAGGAGGAGGAGGAGGAGGAGAGGAGGAGGGGGAGGAGGAGGAGGGGCTGGCCTTCCAGTGGAGGCGGAAGGCAAGCCCCTCCTCGTCGGGTGCCTGGGCTCTGGCCTTCCAGCGGAGGCGGGAGACCAGTCGACGGCCTACGTGCCGCACCCCTTCGAGGCGGAGCGGCTCCGCAGGGTCTCCGGCTGGGCAGCGCGGCCGAAGAAGAAGGAGGAGGTCGACATGGACTCCGACGAGGACGATGACCAGACCTGTACCAGAGGAGGAGGAGGAGGAGGAGGAGGAGGAGGAGGAGGAGGAGGAGGAGGAGGAGGAGGAGGAGGAGGAGGGGAAGGGGGAGAAGAAGGAGGAGGAAGAGGAGGAGGAGGGGGAGGAGGAGGAGGAGGAGGAGGAGGAGGACCAGAACAGGAAGCAGTGCCGGTGCCTCTAGCCTTCCCTCGTTTTTGCTTTGTGTGGGGCCTCCTGGAGGGCCCTCGTCACCACAGCCGGATTCGTTTTTGAATTCTGGTCATAGCGCGCCCTGGGAGAGGTCCAGGGAGCAGCGGCAGCGGTACCTTCTGGTCTCCCCGGGAGGGGGCCGAGGATCAGCAGCCGCCGGCGAAGAGGGCCAAGAAGGCAGACGAGGCGGAGGAGCTGCACGAGCTCGTGCACCGCAGGGGCTTCCACCAGCTCACCGACGGCGAGCGAGAGGCCGTCTTCCGCCTGGGCTTCACCGAGGGCACCTGGCAGAGCGGCGACAACCCCACCGTCACCTGGAGCTCGCTCAGCGAGGCGACGCAGCGGGCAGCGCAGACCTTGGGCCTCACCGAGTCGACGTGGGCTGCGGTGCCAGTGCGGATCGTGGCAGGCATGCGCGGGGAGGACGGCACCATCCCTCTCGAGAGCGGCATGGCCGTCGGCGCGCACGAGGATGGCATGGTCAGGGTCCGGGTCGGGGGCAAGGACCAGGAGGGAACAATCGGCACAGACGCAAGCAAAGGGTGCTTCTCGTGAGAATCGAGGGAGACATGGGAAACGGAGGGGAAGAGGAACATCCAGAAGTTGTGGACAAACATGATCGGCCCACGAACCCGGAAAGGGATGTAGAAATGTAAAGCATGGCATCGTTTCCAAGACGCCAAATTTGGGCGACTGGCAATTACAGTGCTCAGAGTAACGATCGTGATGTACCGTGCCACGGGCTGTGCTGTACGGCGCCGTGCTGTGCCGTGCTGTGCTGAATTCAACGCGTCACGCCGCGTTGATACGTGCCGCGCCCTATTGCATTGTGGATCAAGCCGTCCTTGGCGTCAGAATCATGGCCGAAATGATCTGGATCTTAGGCCCGAACTGCCTGAACGCATAGCTCGGGCTAGTTCGAGACGCGCGGGGCGCTCGACCAGCTCGAGTTCAAAATTCGATTCAGTTCCCAAGCTATTGCCCGAGACATTCAGTTCCGCAACGGAGCGAATCGAGCGCGACCACGACAGGGGGGGGAAAACATGCGGGGCGTTCAACCAGCTCGAACTCAAGATCCGATTCAGTTCCGAACTGGGACGGACCAATCAAGGAGCGAATCCGAACCGAAGCGAAAACGCACCGAGACGACGACAAGGCCCCCGCTCGACTCCTCCTCAAACAGTGGGCAAACCAGCTTTTCGCGAGAGACATCCTCAACACATCCTGCAGGCGGAGCCTGTCGCTGCAGGCCAGGACCCCGCTCGGGACATCCTCGACAGATCCTTTTAGATGAAAACTCAATCTACGCAAAAAAACCCAAACATATTCAAACATAATCCAACCATGGTCCCCGGACTATTTTTGTCCTCGGCAGATCCTGCACAGCGCGCGTGTCGCCCGAGACAACCTCAGCGCACACTCGTGTCGGTGACCCGCCTGGGCGGCCTGGGCACGTGACGACCCGCGTTTCGCTCGACATTCCGTCAGCTCGGGAGGAGGCGGAGGAGGCAGAGGAGCAGGAGGAGGCGGAGGAGGAGGAGAGGAGGAGGAGGAGGAGGAGGAGGAGGGAGGCTAGGAGGAGGAGGAGGAGGCGGAGGAGGCAGAGGAGGAGGAGGAGGAGGAGGAGGAGGAGGAGGAGGAGGAGGAGGAGAAGGGGGATGAGGAGGAGGAGGAGGAAGAGGAGGAGGAGGGGGAGGAGGGGGAGGGGGAAGGGGCGGACGAGGCCCGTCGAACGGCTAAACAGACCTCCCACCCTAACACGTCGATTCGTGGATTGTCCGTTTTCGGTTCTCGAGAGGGCGCCGCGGCCGTCATCGTCCAGGCTTTCGCCCGCCAGGTTTGGGCCCGAGGTCGTTTTCACTAAGCCACGTTCTACGAAAGGGGATTCTGTCCATCCCCGATCAATAAATCCTCATGTTCAAGATCCGCCTGGCCAACGTGGAACCAGCGTGAAAACACGTGGGTCCCTTGCGCGCCAGAGCGGGGGACACCTGTGACAACGCGTGGGCCCTTGGCCGCGCCAGATCGGAACCAGCGTGAAAAAGCACGTGGGCCTTTCCCGCCCCGCAGCGGGATGCACGTGACACCGCATGCGCCCGAGCGGCGCAGGCGTGAAAGCACGTGGGTCTCTGTCGCACTGGAGCGGGACACCCGTGAAAAAGCACGTGGGCTTTCCCCGCCCCACAGCGGGATGCACGTGACACCACATGGGTCCCTTGCGCGCCCGAGCGGCGCAGGCGTGAACCCAAGCGGGTCCCTTTGCCGCGTCCTTGTCGGCCCAGAGCGGGATGCGCGTGAGACCGCGGAGGTTCCTTGTTGCCCCAGGGCGCAGCCAGCGTGGCATCTGCGCGGGTCCCGTTCGCCCCAGGGCGGCGCGCGCGTGACAACACGTGGGCCCCTGTCGCGCCAGAGCGGAACAGGCGTGGCAACACGTGGGCGCCTCTCGCCCCAGAGCACAACAGGCGTGAGCTCACATGGGTCCCTTTCGCCCCCGAGCGGGGCAAGCGTGGCAACACGCGGGTCCCTTCCGCCCCAGGATGCAAGAAGCGTGAACACACGTGGGTCCCCTCCAGGAAGCCCCAGGCGGCTTCCCCATTGCCCCAAGACGGAGCGTGCCACGTGATTGCGCATCTAGTGCCGATTAGGGCTGAGCTTGCTCTGTTTCTGTGCGCCCATTCGCAGTTGGGCGGGGGAGACCGCCCCTGGGTGGCCAGGACGCGTGGCAACACGTGGGTCTCTTCGACCCAGGGCGCGGCAGGCGTGACATCACGTTGGCTCCCCTGCTCTCCAGGGAGCAGGAAACGCGAAAGCACGTGGGTCCCTCTCGCCCCGGAGCGGAACGAGCGTGAAACCGCGAACGCCCCCTTCGCCCGGGCGCGCAGCAAGCGTGAGAAAGCATGTGGGTCCCCGTCGCCCCAGAGCGCAGCAACCATCAGGGAGCGTTTTCACGCCTGCTCTGCCCTGAGGCGAAAGGGACCCCCGTGTTCTCATTCTTGCTCTGCCCTGGGGCGGATGGGACCCACGTGATTTCACGCCTGCCGCGCCCTGAGGCGAAGTGGGCCCATGTGTCTTCACGTGTGTTCCGCCCTGAAGCGAAAAGGACTGGGGCGAAAGTGACGGTCTTTCCATTTCTCCAACCTTTCCTGACATGAACGGGAAGCGCGTGAAAGGACAGAGCTGCGCAAGAACGTGCAGCATCATCACGATAAAATGTAATGTAGGCGAGCTCTCCGAACGTCCACAGGGGATACCTACGGACACGCGCTCCCCGAACGTCCACAAGGAGAGTCCTGATTATCCTCCTCACTTCTCTGTACGCCTCCAATGTCGTCCGTCTATCCCTCACTTATCTGATGTGTTCGAAGGCCCGTCCGAAGGCACACACACGCACACACACAGGAGGAAGAGGCTCTGGTACGTTTTAGAAGACCTCCTCAAAAGCATTTGCAAGGGGGATGTCTCGAGCGAAACGCTTACTTATCTGATGTGTTCGAGTAGGAGTGGGCGAAGGAGATGGAGGAACGTGAGGAGCAGACGGCCCTCACGACTGCCCAACAGAGCCTCACAATACGATCATATACAATAACTTAGTATAGAGGAAGTATCGTATACAAGGACCATCGTACACGAGGAAGATCATATACAACGAAGGACGTATTCAAACAATATCATATACAACTAAGGAGTCGCCCACCCGCCGTCTCGCATATAGGCGACTGCACCGCCCCTACTCCCGGGGGTCCCTGGGCGGCCATAGCGTATCCCTGGGATTGTCCAGGGATTCAATGACGGCTCAGGAAGCCCACCCAGGCCACCAAGATAGCCCAGAATCGCTCCAAGGCGGCCCAAGATGGCTTCCAGACGGCCCCAAAGGCCTCCAACACGGCCCAAGAGGCCTCCAAGAGTCCTGCCAAGAGACATCGTATACAAGGAATGTCATTGACAAGGGCGATCATATACAAGAACTTTATATAGAGGAAGTATCATATACAAGGACCACCAGTATCATATACAAGGACCAAGTATCATATACAAGGTTACCCAAGAGCACCCCGAAACTATGTCTCATAGCAGCTCTTTCGACATCCCATTTTTCCGAGGATGTCTCAGGCGAAACTGCCGTTTTTGAAGTTCCGAAAATTAGGCCAGCGATTTCAATATCCAGATTTGTTGAGGATGTCTCAGGCGAAACGCTCATTTTTTACATACGACGTCTTAAGACACGACCCCCAACTTCACGATTTGGCGAGGACGTCTCAGGCGAAACGCTCGTTTTGGGAATCCGCCAGGCTCTGAATCACGAGGCGGTGCCGCACGTTCCCCCTCCAGACCTCCCCCAGTTGATAAGTAAATCCATCTGGGCAAACAGACGTCCATCGCGCAACTCTTCGAGTCTTGGCGCGCTTCCCGTCAAACGAGCGTTTCGCTCGAGACATCCTCAAGACATGCTGCACAACAAGCGTTTTGCTCGAGACAACCGCAACACACGAATCTGTGTACTTAATGTGTTGCCGATCAGATTTGCAGAAACCAGCGTTTCGCTTGGAACACCTTCAACATTTTAACCACTGGAGAGCCTCGACCTTGTTATTGATTAAGGAAAGCATCCGCCAGCCCACCCCAAGCATGGCACATGGGGGCAGGCTTACCAACGAATAGAGAACCCTGGGCCTATGCCCTTTCCGGGATAAATGGGAATCCTGGACTTCGTGCAGATTTATTTGCGGCTCCTTGGGCCCCTTCAAAGGAGCAGTCCGTGCACGTGTCCAGGGTACTGCTCGCAGAGGAGGACGCCGAGGGCGTTTGGAGCCAGACGCCGCATGTGACCGTTGCCATCGCTCGGATGTTCCTTGAGAAGGGCGTTGCGGTCGACGCCCGTGATGCCCAGGCAAGGTTCATTTCGATTCCTGGGATCTGATTCGATTTGATGTCGGTCGTCTCCGATTCCGATTCGATTCGACTTCGGATTCCGTGTCGATGCGATTTTGGATTTCGATTTGATATGGGATTCGATTCCCTTTCGGAGTTCGCTGCCATCGCCTCGCGTGCTCCTCGAGAGCCGGGGAACCCACAATGGTACAAACATACGCTTTTGGAGGTCCGCGCGGGTTTCTCGGATCGGAGCTGGGCCCCCCTGACGGCGCCTCCCGCGCCGCCCTCGGCGTGCTCCGCGCAGATCCAAGAAGCCCGCGCGGGCCTCCGAACGCTGATGCTTCTGCCATGTTTGCCCGTCTGGAGAATGGTGGGCCTGTTGCCCACCGCCCCCGCCAGCAGTTGGAGGGGGAAGGAGGTGGAGGATGAGTAGGATACCGCACTGCATTGGCGACGCCGCGCAAGTCTCCCAGCGCGTGGCGGGCAGAGATGGAGGATGAGGAGGAGGAAGAAGAAGAGGAGGAGGAGAAGGAGGACCCCCTCCAACTCGTGGTGGTGGTGGGTGGAAAAGCAAGCCCCTCAGAGAGCTGCCCGCGATGCCCAGGGCTGCACGCCCCTCATGCTGGCCCTTCGCAGCCGCTACCACGACCTGGCCCTGTGCCTGCTCGAACGGGGCGCGGACCCCAACGCCGAGGCCGCGCAGGCGGACCCGGCGGCGGCGGGGGCCGGCAGTTTGCCCAAGCCGAGGCCGCGCAGGCCGGGCCGAAGGAAAGGGGGGGGGATAGGCAAATGGGGCCCAGAAAGGGACGCTTCAGGGGCCCAAGCGTGCTTCTTTCTTCACCCCAGGGGCCTCGAGGAGCAACCCGTGACATAGACATAAGCTTTTGGAGCTCCGCGCTGATTTGCTGGATCGGCGCTGGACCCTCTCCCAGGCGCGGCGCGCGCAGCGCGCCAGGGGCGGCCCCAGAGGCGCCACCAGGGGTGCCCAGCGCCGATCCAAGAAATCCGCGCAGAGCTCCGAGAGGGTATGGTTATGCACCTACGCCTTCTTCGAAACCGACCTGTGCCATGATCCGCTCCTGGCCGACCGCAGCGTCGGGGCAATACATGCAGGAGGGAAGCGGCCCTGAAGGGGCCCTTTGGGCCTACAGGGGCCCCTGGGGCCCCCCGAGGGACCCCTTAGGGCCCCGAGCGCGCTCCTCTTTTCTCGGGCCGAACAGAAGGGGGGGATAGGGAAAGGGGGGGTTACGACATCTGCTGCATGCAGCTGGTTTCGGCCCCGCCGCCGGGCCCATTCCTCGATGCATGGGCGCCTCCAGGAAAATCAGCTACGTGAGCTGATTCTCGAGCCCCCCTTTGCTATCCCCCCCTTTCGCCCAGCCCGAGCAGGCCCATCGACGAAGTCCAGCCGGGCGAGATAAGCCGAAGCATGAACGGGCAGGTGAAGCTCCTGCGAGAGCTGCTCTCCAGAGGCTGTAAGGTGCTTGGATGGATGGAACGTGTGTCGGCGAATAGCGCCCAAAGGCGTTCCATTGCGCTCGAAAGTGCCGCATGGCGTCCAATAGCGCCTGATAGCGCCAACGTAGCGCTGCGTAGCGCCCACCGGCGCCCAATGACGCCATTTGGGGGAGATGCATGGCGTCCGCTTTGCGCGCTATTGGATTATTGGACACGCTATTGGGCGCAATGGGGACTCTAATAGCTTCCGTGAGCTGCTTTCTAAAGGTGCAAGACCCGGCGACGGAGGTGGACGTTTCCGTGGTGCTGAGGTTCCTCGACGAGGGCCAGTTGAAGAGTGCTGCTCTGCTCATTGAGGCGGGGGCCGACTTGTCTGCTGATCGGACAGGCCAAAATGCCATGCACAAGATCTTTGCGCAGGTCTTCGCCTACGAGGCGCAGAGTACGAAGAGCACCATGGCCTTGAGCATTGCCATGCAGCTCCTGACCTCTGCGAAATGGGGTGTCAAGTTGCTTTCTGCGTGGACGAGGGAACACCCGCGTGTGACGCCGCTCTACTCGTTGATCCAGGCTTTCGCAACACGGACTTACCGACTGCACCCCGAAGAGAAGGCGGCGAGAGACTCCGACATGCGTGCCGAGCTGCTCCTGAAGCTGGTGGAGGCGGCTCCGAGCACCGTGGATCTGTCGAAGGCGTACCTTCCCCCGCCCGGCAAGGAGAGCGCGGAACGCCCGCAGGGCCTGCTGGGCCTGCTGTGCGCTGCAGATCAGCCCACGGAGAAGTCCCAGGCGCTCGTCGTGCAGGCGATCAGCCGGCTCTGCCGCCGGGGCGCGTCCGCCAACGCTTCCGACGGCTCTCCGGCAGCGCTGCACTCGCTCGCACAGCGCCTGGGCCCACGCCTCGCGGCCTCGGAGTTCGCCAAGGCTCGCAGGGCAAAACGCAGCAAAACCGAAGTGCAGTCGGAGGTCCTCGCGGACTTCTTGGGTTGATGGGCATGGTTTCCACCACCACCACCAGAATTAGGAGGGGGAGGGGGTCCTCCTCCTCCTCCTCCTCCTCCTCCTCCACCACCTCCTCCCCCCCCCTCCGACTTATGGTGGTGGTGGTGGTGGTGGAAAAGAGGCCCATCATTGGGTCGGCGCTGGGCCCTCCCTCCCTGGCGCGCGCAGCGCGCCAGGGGCAGCGCCGGAGGCGCCAGCGCCGATCCAAGAAGCCTGCGCAGGTCTCCGACATGTTTTCGGAGATGGAGAGCTGACATGTTTGAGGTCCTCGCGAGTTTCTTGGATCGGCGCTGGGCTACTCTTGCGGCGCCTCCTGCGCCGCTCCTGGCGCTCCGTGCGCCAAGGAGTGGGTCCAGCGCCGATCAACAAAAATCCCGCGCGGACCTCCCAGGCGTTCGGAGGTTCGGAGGTGAGATCGCAGTGAAACGGAGAGCTTCCCACTGGGAAATCGGTTTCGGTTTCGTGTTCGTGTCGTGCGCGGGGGCGAGGCGGAGCTGCGTGGGCGGGCAAGAGGAGGAGGAGGAGGAGGAGGAGGAGGAGGAGGAGGAGGAGGAGGAGGAGGAGGAGGAGGAGGAGGAGGAGGAGGAGGAGGAGGACGAGGAGGAGGAGGAGGAGGAGGAGGAGGAGGAGGAGGGGGATGATGATGATGATGAGGAGGAGGAGGTGGAGGAGGAGGAGGAGGAGGAGGGAGGAGGGAGGAGGGCGGGAGGAGGAGGAGGACGAGGAGGAGTAGCTTAGTGATTCCCCTCCCCTGGTCGGCTGGCGGTCTGGCGGTGGCTCGGGGGTGTCCCGCCGTTGTCCCCTGGTGTCCCGTGGCGCGGTGTCCCGTGGTGTCCCGTGGTGTCTCGTGGTGCCCCGTTGTGTCCTGTGGCGCGGTGTTCTGTGGTGTGCCTTTCGGGGGTGGACAGACCTCCTACCCTGACACGTCGATTAAGGAATTGGCCGTTTTCAGTTCGCGAGAGGGCGTCGCGGCCGTCATTTTTGCAGGTCCAGGTCCGTCGGTTTCGGTCCCAGGCCGTTTTCACTAAGGGGAGGTCTACTAAAGGGAGGTTTGTCCACCGCCGAGCCTTGGTGTCCCGTGAGGTCGATTGTGAGATCGATCGTTCGAACGATAGCGAGATCGAACGTGAGACCGATGGTCAATTTGATCTTGAGATCGATAGTGAGGTCGATTGTGAAGTCGGTAATAGCCATGGCCATGGCAGTGATAGCCATGGCCAAGCCTCGATTGGAGTTCCACCGGCCTCGAGGGTTTTTTATCCAATGCCCCCACCGTCCGTAGCCATTTTGGCTCAAGGCAATGAACCGTCCCGACGACCGCGAGTCTTTCGGGGCGACTAAGCGCGAGGGAGGTTCTGCTTTGAGGCTACCTTCCTTTCCAACAAGTGTGAGCTGCCACTGCAGCACCCTGGACCTGCGGGTCACGGCTTCTTCTGTGTCGGCGGGTCCGCCCCCGTCGGCACCTGCCTGCTGCACGCCCGCGGCTGAGCAGCGCGCCCGCCCGTTCCGGCGATGGGGCCGAAGGCCGAGCCTGGCATCGTCGTGTGCACGGGCTGCCGTTTCCGCTGGAACTTCCGCAGGAATGCGAAGTGCTGGCTGTGCGGGATCGGGCTGGAGCTGGCGCCCTCGAAGCCTTCGCCCCGCGTCGGGGTCTGGGCGGACGACGGCGGCGGCGGCTCCCAACCCGCACTGCGAGGAGGCGGCAGCGGAGGCCCACCGAAGAATGGCGCCAAGGGCGGCAAGGGCGGCAAGGGCGGTGGAGGAGCCTCCCGTGGCGGCGGTGGTGGTGCAGCCTCCCGTGGCGGCGGCGGGGGCGCGGGTGGCCGTGGCGGAGTCGCCTTCCCGAAGGCCCCCTGGTCGGCCCCCCCCGAGGCCGAGCTCGAAGCGCTCCTCGCCTGCGGGGACCCCGCCATCGCGGCCAGGCTGCAGGAGGCAGTCCGTGACGCGCGGGGCTGCGTCGCGCCCGCGGTCGCCCCAGCTCCGAAGCCGCTCGAGCAGAGGCTGCAGTCGGCCACGGCGAAGCGGATCCACCTCCAGCGCCAGCTCGACGAGGCGGCGGACACGCTCGTGGCGGCGGAGGACCACCTCGCTCTGTGCCGAGGCTGGCGCGACGAGGCGGCGGTCAACCTCGCAGAGGCCAAAGAGGAGGAGAACGCCCTCCTCCGCCAGCGAGCCCAAGCGGCTGGTGTCGTGGGCGCCCAGCCCGATGGAGCGAGGCAGCTCACCTTCAACTTCGACGCGGAGTCATTCGAGAACTTCGCGGAGCTGGAGGAGGAGGCGCAGGCCACCCTCAGGCGCCTCTGTGACGAGGGGCTCCAGATCATGCAGGGGGCGCAGGCTACGTTCGAGCGCAACTGCCAGGAGCACCAGCAGCGCATCAAGCGCCAGATCGAGGAGGAGGTGGCCAAGAAGCGCAAGCGCACCGAGGAGGGGCCTGCAGCAGCCGTGGCCGCTGGCACCCCCGTGCGGGGCGCGGCCGCCCCGCCGCAGCCAGCAGGACAGGCGGCCGCCCCTGCTGCTGCCGCCGCCCCAGCAGCAGGCGCTGCGCCTGGTGCAGGGCCCCCCCCAGCGGCCGCCGTGGAGAGCCGAGCGGCAGACGAGGCGGCCCGACAGCGCGCTGCCGACCGAAAGGCTGCTGCGGCGGCCCCTCCACCTGCTGCTGGCGCTGCAGCTGGCAGCGGCCAGGCCCGCGGGTAGCACCCTGCTGCCAGGCGGCGGCCCCGTTAGCGCGGCGCCGCCCGTCCCAGACGGGGCTGAGGGGGCAGAGGCGGCGGCGCCCAGCCGCCCCGCGGCGAAGGCGGCGCCGAGCGGCGGCATGCACGCCTACCTGGCGGCCAACGTCGAGGCCGACGCTGGGGAAGGGCTTCCCTTCACTGGGCCGCTGCTCCGCCAGGACCGACGCTCCGACGATGCGCGCGATGGTTCCAAGTTCAAGGCGCTCAGGAGCAGGACAGAGCCAAGCGCTGCGGCGGACTTGGATGGGCCCGACCGAAGGACCGGCAGTCCTCAGCCCAGCCAGGGGCCCATACGGAATGGTGGGTACCCAATTCAAGTTGGCGAGGCTAAGGGCGAGGGCGTGAGACCCCCTGAGGTTCGGAGCCCCAAGGCGGCGGGCAGCCGCCCGCCTGGCGGCCGCGCGGGCGCCGCGGCAGCCGCGAAGCCTACAGCCCAGCCCCAGCCAGGGCGACCGCAGGCCAAGCCCCTCCAGCTGGCCAAGCTGCAGCGCACGGAGGCTGTCAGGAAGCTTAGCCCCCTCACCAAGTGCTGGCGCTGCCTCGGGAGGATCGCCAGGCAGCTCAGTGCGGCTGCTGCCGTCAGCTCACCCCCTGAGGGGCACGGGGGCTACATGAAGCACCTGGTGCAGGTGGCCAAGAGCTTGGGGCCCAAGTTCGAGCAGGCGGGCTGCTCCATGTTTGAAGGCACTAAGCTGGACTCGCTGACTGTGGTGATACAAGAGCCCTCTGTGCAAGGGCAGGCCTTCCTGCAGATGATCGAGAGCGCGGCGGCGAGACTCTGCAAAGAAGAAGCCAAGGCGGCCAGGCTGCGCTGGATGGACTACGTGGACGTGGCCTCGACGAAAGGGGCGAAAGGAGCCCGCGATGTCATACAGGACCGCGATCAGGTGCTGGACTCGGTGATCGCGCACTGCCCCGACTGGCTGATGCTCCCCGTTGTAGTCCAGCAAGCCCAGAACCAGATCCGCATAGAGTGGAAGGCCCTCTGGAAAGGAGCCGATAGGGAGCACAGGACCAGACCAGCCGATTGGATCTGCTCCATGGTGCTGCCCCCGTTCACGGTGGGCGACAGCCTCGAGGCGGCGAAGTCGCTCCCGAAGCAGACCGCTCTGGGCTGGGATGCGTTCCACCCGCGGCTGGTCCTCTCCCAGGGCAGGCCCTTCGCCGGTATGATGGCAGAGGTGCTCACGGCTTGGGTGTTGCAGCCGCAGCCCACGGCCCTCTTCACCACGGTGTTCCTCTTCCTGGGGAAGCCAGACGGAGGCCGCCGCCCGATCGGCCTCATGGGCAAGTGGTTGCGCATCTGGTGCAGGGTGCGCCACCGCTACAGTGTCAAGTGGGAGAAGGACCACCAGCCCACTTTGGTCTGGAGAAAGGATGCGAACAGCTGTGACATGGCGGTCTACCCACACAACCTGGGGCTCGCGCGCGCCCGTCAGCTTGGCTTTGGGGCAGCCTCAGTCTATCTCGACGGCAAGTTCTACGCGCGGACCGACCACGACCGTTTCAAGCGAACTGCCGAGTTGGTGAGTTTGATGGGCCACCGCTACGAGGAGCTCTTCTGCCAGGACCTCTTCGTCGGCGCCCAGTACCAGGTCCAGAGGCCGCGCTGTGACCCTGGCGGGGCGCGCCGCTCGCGCGGTTGGGACGCGGGCGCACTTGTGGTGCCCGCGGGCACCCTCGTCTTCACGGACGGCTCCTGCGTCAACAACGACCTGATGATCAGGAGCGCGGTCTGGCCGGTGGCGGTTCTCACGACCGTTGGCGAGTGGGTGGTGCAGGCGAGGGGTGCGGCGCCGTCTGCCCTGAAGCTCATCCCCTCCCGTTCGCGGGCGGCCATCGAGCGGGGCGACCTCATGGAGGTGGAGCTCTTCGGCAACCGCCTCGTGGGCCAGCTCGCGAAGGCGGGCGCGGCGATGCGCGCCATCGCCGACGAGGAGGCCCGCCTGCTCCAGGGCTGCCAGGCCCGCACCCGCTTCGCGGCGCGCTTCGCCGCCGAGTTCGAGGTCCAGGACACGGAGTCGGGCTTGCGGGACCTCACCCCCTACATTGCGGCGGAGCTCGACGGCGAGGCCGACCCCCTGTTCGCCGCCGCGGCGGAGCCCGCCCCTGGGACAGGTGGATTCAGCCCACCGAAGTCGCAGTCCCAGGGGCGCGGCCAGTTCGGGGATAAGCACGACGTGGAGG